ACTGTATGGATACCTATATCTGGTTCATACTGTATGACTGCTTTAAGCCAATCACAGCCCATATTGTGAGCAAAGGGTGTGTAATGTTATGACAAGTGTTTCAATCAGTGATGAAATGCTTTGTTTTTGTGAACCATTTGTTTGATTGTTATCTCGTCTTTGATTACCATTTAATTGATTGGATTTATTAGTAATGAATATCAATGAACTCAACGACGACTGTCTGAAGATTGTCTTATCATTCATACCATTCGGGGAACTGTTGGCCGACCGCCGGGTCTGTAAAGACTGGCAACAAGTGATCGGTTAGTCTCTGTTTTTTTTAAATTTTTTTTGGTTACTTCTCTAACCATTAATCGGATCCAACAGATGATTATCTGTCACATGTCATACACTTTGCATACAACCCATCATTCAATGGTAATGACGGCAAATCTGATGTGAATTTACCCCGATTTGGACGTTATCTACAATTGATGCCCAAATTGACATCATTTTCAGTGACAGGTCTGTAACCGTCGGCTATTTATTAGCCAACAATTGGTCACTAAATCCCAGATTTAAATACTTGAAACACACATTTAAGTCCTGTATATATGTTTTAATATATCTATATCTTCAGGTGTCCAACCGTTGGATCCGATGATCAAGATTCTTGTGGCCAAATGTGCGAACATAACTCGTCTATACATGAAAGGTGTGTACGAAGTTGTGTCCATCACTGTTAAGGGCATCGAGCAGTTGGTCACAGCATATCCGGCGCTCACACACCTGGATGTGCCCAACTGTGATGTCAACGACCGTATGATCGAGATTGTGGCCACACGTCTCACCCGATTGGTCCGCTTTAACTTCGGCACCGATTGGGAACTCCATAATGATTACCGTTTAGGCGCCGGCTTTACGGGTCAAACACTGCGCTATATATCGGCCACAACTAAGTCACTGATGATCGGCGAGAGTGAAGGCAATGACCAGACGGTGATCGAGTCACTGATGGCCGGACCCGCGCGACAACACGTGCTCGCGTTGAAGATCCACTTGAATGAGTTGAAGCACTTGTCCACCATCTGTGACCAAATGCCACAATTGCGTGAGTTCTACTGCAACTTCGATGGCGGCGATATCAGCGGCGATGTCAATAACATCGGTTGCGTTAGTCACGTGCAGAAGTTGCAGAATCTGGAAGTGCTTGAAGTGTCAGACGATGGCCGCAATCACTGTTACTCCGGCTGTTATAGTCTGTACACATTGCGATCCTTAACCCATGCCATTAGCGGTCTGTCGCGGTTGAAAGTGTTGCGACTCTTGGATCACGACAATTGGCACCTCAATAAAGAGTCCATTGATCCACTTCTCGGCCAATTGAAGAGATATTGTCCCGATTTGACCGAATTCGGTGTTAGCGCCGGTCTGTTCGACTTGAAAGCTAAGAGTTACCGATTGATCGGTGAACTGAATCTACCGGTGGTCACCATTCAGGACGACCGGATCCCTAACGGCTGGTACGATGACATTGAAACACATTACGTGTCTAACGATGATGTGGTGGATCTCCTGAAGGCGACCACTAATATGCGTCGATTTCGTGTTGAGAACTGTTCAGAGATAGACAAAGAGGCGGTGAAGGCGTGTCTGGAAGTGTTGGCCACAAGAAGTCGCCGACGAATTGAATTGATTTTAGTTAATACTACCGATGAAATCGAAGAAATAAGGGCTGAGTTTACGGTTCCGCCGAATGTGTCGCTTGTTTTCATGTAAAGTGTGGCCAAAAGAGTGTTTATAATTATACTATTTATTGATTATTATATATCTGTTAATTTAAATATATTTATTGATTGTATGTTTTAATTAAATTAAATTAAAATTATGAAATATTTATTTTGTAAGTCTCTCTCTCTCTCTCTCTCTCTCATGTCTAGTAATATNAACAGTATTTTATGTTACATTCAAAGTCTGTATTATATTATAATTTATATTCTGAAATAAAAGTTAAAAGTTTTTTAATTACAATCAATTAGTTTGTGATTTATCCCTTACTTATTATTAGAATCGGGTCACAACTGTATGGATACCTATATCTGGTTCATACTGTATGACTGCTTTAAGCCAATCACAGCCCATATTGTGAGCAAAGGGTGTGTAATGTTATGACAAGTGTTTCAATCAGTGATGAAATGCTTTGTTTTGTAAACCATTTGTTTGTTTCCCGGAAAAACTTTTCCGGTCTTTAATTA